CTTTTTGAGACAGGGTCTCCCTGTAGCCCCAGCTGTCCTGGAACTCACTACGTAGACCAGGCTGGCCTCGAACTCACAAAGATCCGCCTGCCTCTGCCTCCCAAGTGCTGGGATTAAAAGTGTGCGCCACCACGCCCATCATGTTTGTTTTTTTAAGATAACCTCTCCCTACGGAGCTCAGGCTGGCCTCAAATTCCCTTAGTAGCTGAGGATGACCTTGACCTCCTGAATTTCCTGCCTCTACCTCCTAAGTACTGGGATTATAGTTATGTACCACCATTTGGGGCTTATTCCTTAAATTTTTTTCCAAAGTTTTAGGTTTTACTTTTAGATATATGATATATTTTGTGTTACTGTTGACTAACCTTGGGATTAAGTGAAAGTCTTTTTTTGCATAAGAATATTTAATTTCCTATGTAATCTCTATGTATTTACAACATTGTAAGAACCAATCTGCAATATTTGTGTGGCTCCATTTCTGGACTTTCTATTCTATGCATTCATCTAGATGTCTGTCATTTCACAAGTATCATTTGTAATTATTCCTAATGGTTTTTAGAAAGTCTTAAAAGTTGGGTAGTATAAACTGGGCGTGGTGATGAATGCCTACAATCCTAGCACTTGGGAAACAGAAGCAGGAGAATCAGGACTTCAAGACCAGCCGACAACTTGACAAGTTTGAGACCAGCTTGGAAATACTTGAGACCCTATCTCAAAAAAAAACAACAACAAGCAAACGGGGCCAGAGCCAAGATGACTGCAGGTGCAGGAGCAACAGTGGCGATGGTGGCTTTCAGTGCGGTGAGGTGCAGGCATGACGGCTGTAGGGTAAAAGGCCCAAGACAGTGGATGGTGATGACAAGGATGACAACAAGAATGTTGAAGAGACTTTTGTGCCCCTAGAACCCAGCCATGCGCTCCCCAAGGGCTGCCCCCTGGTTCCGTGAAGGTGGGGAGTTTTAAGCAGGAAATGACCTTCATGTTTTAATCAGAGAACTTAGAAAATGATTCCAGTAAGATGTCTCATCACTTATTCCATTTGGTCATGGACGAAGATGTGAAAACGGCAGATGCCAGAAACAACCAACTGGGTCCTTGACCATGAAAAAGAAATCTCTTGCTCCATCTGTCTCCTTGAGTAAAAGCAAAAAAGTAGTTTTCTCTAATATTGATGGCCTTCTAGAGAAAAATTTAAGTTTATAAGTAACTGTTGCCTCTGTTTGTTGTAGAGAAGCCAGAATACTCTTTCTTAAACACAAGTATAATCATGTGAACAGAGCGATAGAGACAGGAAAATAGTAGGCCTATATATATTATACAATGTAATGTAATTGAATTATGAGCCCCTCCTGTGAGCCTGGAGCTGTGGTCCCCTCCTGTGAGCCACAGTTCCACATGCCTTTGGTGGTGGGCTGATGGTGGAACAGAGTGGAGGACGGAGGCTCTCCTGATGTGGGGCAGCAGTTTCAGCCTTCTCTGAGTGTCTGCACTCCCCACAACCTCCCTCCCCAGGTCCCAGATTGTGCATAGCAGTGACTTTGCCTCTGTGTTGGGCTTATTCTGGGGACAGGGGAGGTCTCTGTCATTTTCAGATACTAGTCTTGGGAGGACTGAGTGTCAAGAGTAGACTTCCTACCTCATTGATGGCCAGCTGTGGTCTTGACTCTGCAGGTAGTTCTGGACACCTGGGCCTTGATGTTGGACCTTTCCCATTCGCAGGCACCAAGAGGTTTTCCATAATTTTTCTCTTACTCTTCTACAACCCCAGTGTACTTTCACC